CTTCAGGAACAGCTCCTAGGTTTATAGCTTCTTAAAGTTTGCTATAACCTGCTGGTCCATAGGCTGCAGTAGAGGAGTTGTATTAGGTGAAAAGAACCCAGCTGAGAGTCATGGGAATTCTTCAGCCAACTTTTCTTCAAAATCTCATGGTGAGCAGGAGCATTGTCCAGGAGGAGGAGTGTCTTGAGTGGTTTGCCTTTGTTCTCTGGATATTTCTTAACAGCAGGACAGAAAGCCTCCCTGATCCACTCAACAAAAAAGTACTCTTATTACCCAGATCTTTTACATTAGATCTTCACATGACCTCTAGCCTATTCTTCATGACTTTATGTTTTCTGAACACACTAGGGCTCTCAGAGTGATAAACTAAGAAAGGCTTTATCATGAGGTCACCACTCACATTGGCACATAGCAATAAGGTTAGCCTGTCCTTCATAGGCTTGTGACCTGGTATTTTCTTCTCTTCCTGGATAATGCATGTTCTCGTGGGCATTTTCTTCTTCCAGCAAAGACCAGTTTCATCACAGTTGAAAATCTGATGAAAGCAAAAGCCATTTCTCTGTGTCATCATTTCAAAGTGGTGTATGTAATCCTCAGCAGCCCTTTCATCAGCACTGGCTGCTTCACAATGCCTAGTTACACTACAAACTCCAGTCCTCACTTTAAAATTGTGAAACCATCCCTTACTGGAACAAAATGTTTTACTATTATTACACGTTTATGGATTATCATTTATGAGATGTACATTTATAGCCCTAGCTTTTTCACAAGTCATAGACTCAGACAGACTATAACTTGCCACCTGCCTTTTGTTTATCCACACTAATAAAGCCTTTGTACTTCATCTAACACTGTTGATCCTGACTTACTAATTTGACCAGTTTTATCACAGTTGATGAGAGGCTTCTGCTCTTATCAGATTTTCAACTGTGAGGAAACTGGTCTTTCCAAACACCTTTAGCCACACTAGCTCCATTACACAAATCTTTCCTCTGCAAGATTGTCGAGATGGTGGATTTCAACATGCTGTACACATTAGTGAGATGGGTCATATGACACCACTCATATTTCTCCACAATTTCCTGCTTCTTTTCAACTGTAAGTAGCTTCTTTACCTTCCCTTCCTTTCTAGGTTGCTTTTCTAGTTTTCTTGGGGCCATTTTGATAGCCGTAACTGTAGTGATTACATAAAGAACTGAGCAAATCACATCTACAAACACACAAATCTGGGCTCAGACTGATGTTGCACTGACCAAAATCACATCTACAAACACATGCACCTGGGCTCAGACTGATGCTTGTGTATCCTTACATATGCCTTTCTGGCATCACAAGTCTGCGCACAACCACACAAGTCACCAGCATTCGGGTCTTAGCATTCCAAGACTTTGGTTATAAAGTAAACCTAAAATTCTGGTCATAACCCAAGTCATTGGTATGGTTGTAACTCAAGGGTCCACTGTATCACATCATAATAATGGTGGAAGTGCTTAGATTTGTCTAAATTTCACACCCTACTGTCATGGTCTTAATGTTTGTGTCTCCTAAAATTCCTGTGCTGAAATCTAACCAAGATGATGTCCTAAGGAACCTGGCCTTTGGGCTTATAGAAGATGATTAGGTCATAGAGACGGAGCCTTCATGAATGGGATTAGTGACCTTATGAAAGGGAGCTTATATGCTCCTTCTACTGCATGAGGACAATAACAGAGCACTGTCTATGAACCAGGAAAGGGCCCTCACCAGACAATTAATGTACAAGTGCTCTGGTCTTAGCTTCTCCAGCCTTCAGAACTCTGAGCAATATACATACCTCTGTCAGTGATAAGCCACCCAGCTTATGGCATTTGTTATAGCAGCCCAAACTGATTATGACACATAGCATGCAGTGAGAAGGCTCTCAGTTCTCTCTCCTAACAGAAAAACAGAAAAAAAAAAAAAAAAAAAAGACCCAAGACCAATATGAGGGCTGCACTCTTGGCTAACAAGAGATGTGTTCAATGACCTAAAGAACAGGACGTTAGAAAGGGTCATGAACCTGTGGTCTCCTGAAGGATTTCCTCCCACATTCCTATGAGATCTCCACATAATCATAGCACAAGGCTGACTCTTTACTCCTGGGCTAGTGTTACATCTGGAACCATAGTTCACAAGACTGGTGAGCACAGGATAGGAAGTAAGTCTTAGCAGAGCCATCTGAACCTGCCTGGACTGTGGTCCATATCTTACAAGTAGTGAGGCCAGAAGGCATAGTTCATAGGCCCACAATGATCCGCAGATCAGATCATACGTTAATGCCTGAAAGTCAAGGGTGTGGGTCAATGGGGTCAATAGAGCTCTTTCCTACCACGCACAAAGCCTATGGTTCAATCTTGAGAACTGCAAAAAACAAATAAACAAAGCTCCAAGTCAGAGAAACTGCAGCCACACTGAACTTTTCCCATGGAAACTCAACCTAGATCTTTCCATGCTATGAAGCAAAGTGAGTGAGGAAGGACTAGGGAAGCCTCCTCAGCCATAGCTGGAAAAAATCCTAAGAGGACAAGGAACAGGGACTCAGTCAAACACGTGAAGCTCAGGGCTTCTGTTTTTTAAGTCTGGGCTAAACAAAGGTAGCTGAACTGGGTCCCAAATGCAAGACTGCTGCACACAGCAATAGAAGAGTGTGTTCTGGGAACTCCTGGCCTTCAAGCTGCTGCTTGCCCAAGTGGATTCAATTTGAGAACAAGACCTTGGCTGCTGAAGGGTAAAGCACATGGTCCTCTTCCCTAGGAAAAGCAATGTCAGGCAAACCGGTGGAGGATGAGAGGGAATGGCAACCATCTCTTTTTGTCCCTCAGCCCTTCTTCCTTCCAAGAACACACAGGGGAAACTGTGCCGATGATTATAGACATGCTTGATCTGGGCGGGGAAAAAGAGAATCCTCGCAAATTAAAACCACAATGAGATATTACCTCACTCCCATAAGAATGGCTATTATCAAACGATAAAAGACAATAAATTCTATTGAGGATGTGGGGGAAAAGGGACCCATGTTCACTGTTGGTGGACATGTACACTAGAACAGCATGAAAAACGGTATGGAAGTTCCTCAAAATATTAGAAAGAGACTACCATACGATCCAGCTACCCTGCTACAGGCTGTAGTGATCTAAAGGAAATGGTATCAAGTATGCTGCAGAGACACCTGCATGCCCATATTGTCTATAGCATTATTCACAGTACACAAAAGATGGGAACAACGTAAATGCCCATCAACTGATGAACAGATAAAGGGAACATGGTATGTTTATAGCATGGAATGCTATTAAGCAACCAAAAAAAAAAAAAAAAGAAAAAGAATGAAATTTTGTCATTTGCCACAACATGGTTAGAACTGGAAATCATTGTGCTAAATAAAATAATCCGGGCACAAAAAGACACATGCTGCGGGATTTCACTCAAGATGTGAAATACAAAAAAAGCTAGTCTCCAAGCCAGGCATGGTGGTGCGTGCCTGTAATCCCAGCACCTAGAGAGTGAGGCAAGAGGATCACCATGAGTTTGAGACCAGCCTGGACTACACAGTAAGTTCAAGGCCAGCCTGGAATACACAGCAAGACCCTGTTTCAAAAAAACAAAAAAGTTGGTCTCACAGAAGTTGAGAGTGCAGTGATGGTGACAAGGGGCTGGGACAGGAGATGGGAGGGAGGCTGAGGAAAGGTTGGTTAAATGGGTACTAAGTTAGAGGTGGACAGGAGGAAGATATCCAGATGTCACTGTATGGAACAGTGATTACAAATAATTATGTACTGTATTTCAAAAGCTAGGAGAAAGGAGTTTGGAAGTTTTCATCATAAATAAATAATCAATGGGAAGACAGATGGAGAGACAGATATATATAACTTGATTTCTACAATATATAGTGACTTCTACATATCAAGACATCATGTCATACCTCATTTACACGTATAATTTTTATGTAGTGGTGTATTGGTTAAAAATAAATATTAAAAAGAAATTATAGGTTTTTGTTGTTGTTTCTGATGTTGACTTTGTTCTCTGTGGTGCTAGAAATGGAACCTATGGCCCACACTTGCTAGGCAAACACTGCACCACTAAGCTACACCCCAGCCCCATACAGGTGGTCATGCTGTGGGAGTGTTGTACAGGTTTTGCCCTGGGAAGGAGGGTATTACGCTGTACAGACTTTCCAGTGCGAAGGGAACAGTGCTGAACTTTTAGCCAGCCATGAATGATGAGTTATCTTTTACCCTGTTTTCTCAAGATAACAGGCCCTGGAAACAGGATATTTAATGAGAAATTATATCTCAAGATGCAAATACCACCTTTATCAACTTTTCATTCCCTAAAGGACAAAAATACATAATTAATCTAAAGAATTCAAACTCACAAGGTTCTGTCAACAGCTATATAGCTCCTGAATTACACCTTAAATTAATCACCTTCCTTTTCCACATCTAAGACAGCATCACCGCAGCTCTGCTGTATATGAAAGATAAGCATGATTAGGTACAGCGACTTCCGCCAGCATTGTCTCCTGCCTAGAAGGATGCAAGTATATGACATATACCCATAATTAACCATCAGCTCTCAGCTCCAGTACATTCACAATCTACTTTCTTACTGGGGATCAAAGTTACAGCAACAACAAGCCAGGTCCCTTCACAACAATAACGTTTCCATGTGCACAGTTCTCAAAGGACTTAACTGTTTTCCCTTAATCACATAACTTACTACGTGCCTTATTTTGCAGGTGAGTAACAGGAAGGAGAGCGAGGCGTTGAGTGATTTGTCTGAGGGGCCTAATAAGTGACAGAACTGAAGCAGGAACCCTCAGAGGTCTGACTCCTGGTCTCCCCGCCCCACTCTATCACGCAGTGCCTCTAGCTGAAAAATTCATTTGTGATCCTGAGATCCATCACTGACAGAACTCAGGGAAATAAAAGCTGATCCACCAAAAAAAAAAACCCCAAAAAACCCTAATGATAAATTCTTACTTGTTAACAAGTGGGATACTAAGGGCCCAGCCAGCAGCAAAATCTGGATACTTAAAAACTGTAGGATTTTCAGAAAAGGCATAATGGTGAATTATTGTAGATTCTTCATCATGCAATGCTTTTCCTAAAAACCATTCCTGTTAAAGAAAAACAAAAAATGTCATTTTTTCTAGAAATCCATTTCATGTAAGACCAAAAACAAAATGATATCATTACTTTCAGTTAATTATATCCTGGGTGATAAGAGAGTTCAAATTATGTATTTCTGCAGCATTTGAAAAACATGTAAATGACAATATATCATAACTTATACATATAAGAAAATAAAGATCAGATTATGAAGATGACAAAATATTAATCATCATTATACCATAAATGTATAAAAGCTGTATTTTCTAGAATATGCCATATAAAAATACTATTAAGGTAAAGAAAGCCATGTTTTTTTTGTTTTTTTTTGTTTTTTTTTGGTTTTTTTGGTTTTTCTCCAGTACCAGGAACCAAACTCATGACCTTGCACTTGCCAGGCAGGTGCTTTGCCGCTGAGCTAAATCCCCAGCCCCCAAAAAGCCATGGTTCTTTATGTGCCACTTAGGTTTGCATAGACAGATTTCAAAAATTTCCTCAAGAATCAGTACCTATTTTATTTATTCACTTGATTAGTATTCATTGAGGATTTACTATACAAGGCAGAACCATAGCTTACATTGTGTGAAGAGATGGAAATTAAGTGAATATAGTAACTGGGGGACATCTTAGAAATGGAGGGAAACCTCTTACGATATATCAAATGAAAGAAGATAAAATAATATCAAGAGGCCAACTGTGCAAAAATCTTAGGATGAGCAATTGAGACAGTAAATGCAAAGTCCCTGAGGTAGAAATAAGCTTGCTACATTGAATGAAAAGAGAAATCTAGTGTGTACAGCACAGAGTGGGGTTGGGATGCATGATATGCAGAAGGAGGCAGACCAGGGCAAGTTTTTTGTGCCAGAGGGAAGAAACACAGACTTTATTCTAAGTTAAATGGAAGACTTCCACTTCTGGCCACAACACAGTAGCCTGGATCAGACCTACTCCCACTGAAAACCAGCTTATACGCTGGAGAAACACACAAAATAAATTACTGAAGACTTCAGAAAACAACACAGGCAGACAAGGACACACAGATTGGTGGCCTCTTTCTCTCAAGGAATGTGCCAGTTCCCCAGGTGTAAATATGAGGCAGCAAAACGTAGTAGCTGAGAATTTCTGCAGTCTCCCTGGACTGAGGAGACAGAGGCTAGAGGCTACAAGGGACATTTAGGGATCCTGGAGAAGTGAGCTCAAAATTCCGACGCAATTTCCCCTTAACAATCTCAGCAGCACAAAAACCAAGGGGAAAAGACAAGAACTAAGCAGAAAGCAGAAGCAGACAGGCTAAAAAGCTGAGCAAAGGCTTTCATTGTCTTGTGGTACCAGGGCTCCAATGTTGGAGTTTAGGGTCTCCCAGATTAAGGGCAGTCTGTAAACAGATCCACTTAAACAAGGTCCACAACGCAGGACACTACATCCTCCTGTAGAAAGGTGCTATCATCTCATCCACAGACTCCTTAATTTTTCACATAAAATATTCAAGATTTAGTCAAAAACTATCAGGCAGAGCAAGAAATAAGACTAGACCAAAGGCAAAAATAGAAGGTGAAAAACAAAGAGATGGACATGTAAATACTACTTTATAGTCACCAAAAAAAACCTTTTAAGTAACTATGATTAATATGCTTAAGGAAACAGATGAAAAGATATAGAGAAATGTACAAAAGCACTAGAATGACTAAGAAGAGTCTGATGGAAATCCTAAAACTGAATAAATCCGATACAATTCAGAAAGATATTGAACACAATGGAAAAGAAGATTAGTGATCTGAAAGACAAGTCAGTAAAAAATACCCAGATGGATGACAAAAAGGAAAAAACAAAGAGGATAATAAAGAAAATGTCTCAAAGCAGTACAAGACACAGAGGAAAGGTCTGTGATGCATGAAACTGGAAACCAAGAGTAAGAGGAGAGACAGAATGGAACTAAAGCAACAGCTGAAGAAATGTAGAATTTTCTAAAAGTAACAAAAGTCATCAAGTCATAGATTCAAGAAGTCCTATAAAAACAAATCAGGACAAACAAAAACGGACCACTCTCAGGCATTCAAAGGAACAAAAATAGGATACACAATTGACTTTTCAACAGAAATAATGGAAAGTAACGACAATGGTACATCATCTTTATAGTAATGGAAAAAAACTACCACCAACCTAGAATGCTATATCCAGGGAAATATCTTTGGTGGAATGGGAAACCACTGGAAGGTTTTGAGCAGCAGAGGGGCAGGATCTGAATTATAGAGACTAGATTATTAGGCTGGCAAGAGCAGAAATAAGGAGAACAGACAAGGGGCTCTGTTATAGTCAAGGTGAGAGGTGATGGTAGCCTTGAGCAGAGCAACAGTACTAAACATGGAGATAAGTTGGATAAAGAAGATAGTTAGGAAATAGATCCACTGGAAAGGTCAACTTGCAGTAGAAGAGGGGAAAACAAAGAATCAACCACAAGTCCTACATGTTTTATATGACCAGCTGGAAGAAACACTGATACCAATTCCGAGAAGAGCAGGGGTAAAGATGAAAGAGGTTTAGGGGGATACTGATCCCTAGATAAGCAGAGATATTTATCGGGCAGCCTGACATAAGAAGGAGCTGCACCTAGCTCACTTTTCCACCTCCTTTAGACTCTGCCGTATGAGGTCAGCGAGCTACTCCTTGAACCTTCTCCACAGACCTCTCAGCCCACCCTCAATCTATTTTTTCCCACTAGTCTGCATTATTTTTCTCCAAAGCATTTGTTACAATCTGACAGATCATATATTTATTTGAATTTTTGCTTATTGTCTATCTCCCTGAAACATGGGTACCTCCTTGAGCGTACAGATGCTGTCTATTTTGTTCACTGTTGTCTTCTCCGGGATGCCTAACACACATGGGTACTCAAAAGCTTTTTGTTAAATGAATGAAGCAAGCGCCAGAAAGACTGAGGAAACTAAAACACATAATTTAAATAAAGTACCCTGAGTTCTAAAGGTTTTGTATATTTTTTCTCTTATCAAACTAAAGCCACATTTCTCTATTCCTAATCAGTACATAGGAGCAAGAAGGTACAGTACTTAAGTTCTCTTAAGTATTTTTAAGGGCTTTACTGTACTGTGGTTGTATCCTAAATAATTCCCAGGGTCCTAGCTCTGGTCAGTTCAGCAACAGCATGTGTAATAGCTATTAACATGATTATGTTTACATTCACAGACCCCTGGAGTGACGTTCTCCTTCATATTTTGCCTATTCATATGTTAAGTCACTACCAGGTGAGAAGAATGTCAAGTATCAAGGCAATGACCTCAGTTTGAGAAAGCAATTTAGCAGCTCTAAAAAAAAAATCAGTAATATAGCTCTTTGTCAAACTACTAAACCTTAATATGAAAATCACTGCATTTAACATACCATGTCAGTATAGCTTTATATAAAGAAAATAAATACCTCAATTATTTTGATACCCTTCTTACTAATCTTTCATTATTAAAACCTCTGCTCCAAACATAATTTTATGTAAAACATGTTGTTATATTTTATCTCCAAATTGCAATTCAACTATTATAAAATATATACAATTATTTGTCAATATTTTGTGCAAGTTATAAATTATTTTATGGAGGACATTAACACATAATCTACAGAAAGAGCTACACCCCCATTTTTCTTAATGACTTTAATGGCTTCATGAAAAAGACAATTATAAACAAGACAAACTTCAAAAGAATAATGTTGAAAATGTTCTACTAATGGTATCTTAGACTTGCACAGGTAAATAATAACCAGTGTCTGTGTTTCACTGCTATTAGGAATAAACAAAAAGGTCAACACATTTCATCAAACACATACATATTAAAGGCATACTGTGGTTAAAAAAATAAAAAAGAAAGACTTCAAACAGGTATGAAAATTTATAGAAATCACCTAGGAAAGCATTTTAACAAAGATCATTTTTACATTTCAAATATTATATAATAGTATAAATTTGCATTTGTAAGAATGAAAGAAAAAAGAATGAAAGATATTGAAAAAAATTAGAGAAGGAAAAATCAACTTACATCATGTACAGGTACAAATTCCCTATAGTGAATATGATCATTATGTATATGTAAAATGTACCAATGAACTTAATTTTTAAGAAATTACAATCACACATAATACCTAACACCCTAACACATTAATAATTAGCATTTAACATGGTTTCTTTGGGTCAATATCAAAACCAGGCTTACTTTATGTTTTGCTCCTATGATTTTAAATAGTAAGGAGAAAAAACAGTGGTTTGAGCTAATTTCAACATTATATAATCTTTATTCCTCAGTTCTAATTTCAAGAGAAATAAAGCATCCTAGACTTTTCTTTCCATACGGCAAAGTTCAGAAAAGAAGAGAGAAAGTCTCATTTTACTTCTGTTCTGTACTTGCTTTTCATGAACTTGCTTTGAACTTTTACATTTATCATTCCAGTTTTCATTAAAAAGCAGAGTGAGTCACCATCTCCTATACAGAATTAGAGCCGTGAATAATGGAAAAATAATCTCCAGGTGAAACGAACACTAGGAGGAGGTTGAAACTCCTACATCCTAAAAAAAGATTTGGGAGTTTCTCTCTAGCCAAGAGAAAACATAAAAGCTTAACAAATGGTTTACATAAAACACAAAGTACATAGATGCTCGTTAACATTTTCCGAAAGGATCGATGAAATAGGTTCGCAATTCTTCTCTTCTTTGAAGACATTATTTTATTTTCATTTAATGTCCATCTCATCCTATTATATGTGTACCTTTCCAGAAATCGAAAGTAGAAAGAGAAATCATAACGGACCCTTTCATCACTTAAGGATCACCAAAATGAGTGGTTTTTATGACAGTAACAGACTGTCCAGTAATTGAAAAATCAATCTACTAATCGCTATTGTCTGTCAAATTTATAACAACACACAAGCAGACACTAATAGCTTGTCAGTGTCTCAGTGCTCATTAAACCCCACTCAATTCTAGGTTGGGCACTTGGTGAGTGCAGGCCCAACTCTGCTGATATCAAGTTTAAAGGAACCCATAAAGTGGCCGGGTTCCCATAAAGTGACTCATTCTGGAAGAAAGCTGAATGAGTCTGATTGATTCTTTTTTTTTTTTTTTTTGAGACAGGCTTTCACTATGCTGTTCAGGCTGGCCTTGAGCTCCCTTTGTAGCCAGGTTGGTCTTGAACTTGCACCAATCCTTCTGCCTCAGCCTCTCAAGTGCTGGGATTATAAAGTCTGATTGATTCTTGCTGTATTTTCAAGGCAGCCCCCTAAGCCTACTGAGTCTCTGAATGCATTCTAGAAGGAACGGTGATAAGTTAAGGATTTCAGCCACTCACAAATACTCCACTGACCACCTCCTACGTGTTAAGTACTCTGTGCAAAGCTAGAGATTTAGAGGCAAAAACCATGCGGTTGCTATATCAAATCTGCACAAAGTAAGACTTGAAAATGTGAGTACAATAGTGAACTTCATTGAGTACCTCTAAGGCAAGATGGATCCCTTCTCATGTATACTCTTTCTCAGGGCTTCTTCTCCCTGTAATCCTCTCTCCTCACCTCCTAATCATCCTACTCCTTAAGGCATTCAGACCGAGTGCTACTTGGTTGACTCTCCCATATTAGGTTCAATGTCTCTGTTAAATTCTTTTAACAGCACCTAACACTTCCATCATCACAGGTGAGTTAGTTTTAACTATCGCTGATTCTCTAACCACCCATGACCTTCTGTACTACCACATACTCAGGATCCATGGCTACTCTGTCCTAGTGCCTGTCATCCACAGTGCCTAATACACTGTCAGTATTCAAAACATACTTCTATATAAAATAATACATGTGCTACTATCTGATAAAGAAAAATAACCAGTTTATTTCCAATGTAAACTGTTACATAACTCTAGGCATTGTTTTTTAAATCTCTTGAAATTGCTCACATATATAAACAGACTTTTTTCACTTAAAACAGCTCATCATACATCCCACCCCTCTGTGAGCTGTAAACCTCAAAGAGAATTTTTTGACATAGGTTCCTGACCAAATATTATTTAAATTTGAAATGAATTTTTTTATTCAAATATCTCTTAATTAAAATTAAACATGCTTTGAAGCATTGCCCCCAAAGTGAAAATGCTGATATCAAAATTATATTCACCTTAGATGGGTCATATCGTCTGAGCGTTTCTAAGAGTTTTGGAATCTGAATTCTTGTCTCTTCTTCACAGAAGAAAATCCATGATGAATTTCTGCTATATGTTACAGAAAAGCTAACAAAAAGAAATATGTTACAGTAATCATTTGTGTAAAATGAATTTTCAGTAAGGTTTTTTAATTCATGGTGCTAGGGATCGAACCCAGGGCCTTGTGCATTCAAGGCAAGCACTCTACCACCGAGCCACATCCCCAGCCCCCTCAATAGGACTTAAAACTGTTACGTAGGGAACTGATAAAAGGCAAATAGGGGAAAACTGGTGAATGAGAAGTCATTCAGATTGTTCTTCCTTTATACTTTTCTTATACTAATGATGTACAGAAGACTGGAGTTCTTAAAGTTCATTCTCTCTATAACACCAGTCCAAAAGATAAATAATTTTCAAATATCAGTTTGAACCATTTCATTTTTTAAGAAAAACACACACTTAAAATAAAAGTTTTGCATGATTAAGAACCAATCATCGGGAAACCTGGCTAATAGAGTAATCGTAACAAGTAAGACTTAAATTTATTTCACTTACTGAGGAAAAACACACCCTCCTCATAAGAAAACTAGTGAGCACAAGGGAATTGAGGATACAGTGTCAGCAGTTTGAAGTTAAACACACATACTGTGGTAACAGTGGAAGTATGGTCCATGCACCTTCCTGCTTAGCCAGCTGATGAAGGAGGAGGACTCTGGGGAGTTCCTGAAAACACAATGATCATAAAGACAGGTAAGAATACAACTGGCTACTGCGTGACATAAGACGGCACAGCTACGGCTAGAGGTCTGAGGTGTTACCCTCCATATAACTCTCTTTTATCTAGTTTGCGTCAGGAGGCACTGCGAGGCTGAATCCATACAACTTCCCCACCACCAGTATTGCTCAAGACCCACAGGAAGGTTTCTGGTGGAAGGAGGAGCCATTCAGAAATTTACAGATTTGCAAAGGTAAATGAAAGGGAGGAGTCTACCGGGGAGCAGTCAGAGATAACTCAAAGACACAAAACCAGTATTTCATTTTATAAACAATATATGTAAACTATGTTAAATAAATACACCCCCTCGCTAAACAAGAAGGTACAACATCTAATCTATTTTATGTGGAAAAAATCTGTTTAAAGTGTTCTAAATAAATAAGTAAAATACTTTTAAAATACCTTTTCAAGTTCTTTTCGGGGGAGGATTGAGACGGGGTTTTATTATGCAGTGTAGGCTGGCCTTGAATTCACTATTTAGCCCAGGGTGGCTGGGATTCCAGGCATGTGCCACCACACCCAGCTTTTTTTGTTTTTTTGAGACAGGGTTTCACTATGTAGTTCAGGCTGCTCCTGAACTCACTATGTAGTCCTTGCAACTGCCAGTAATCCTCCTGCCTTGGCCTCCCCAGTGCTGGGATTACAGGCATGTACCACCATACCTAGCTTTTTAAAAAAATATTTTATTTTTTGTTTTGTTTTGTTTTTTGTTTTGTTTTTTTGGTTTTTCTCCGGTACCGGGAACCGAACTCACGACCTTGCGCATGCCAGGCAGGCGCTTTTGCTGCTGAGCTAAATCCCCAGCCCCTAAAAAAAATATTTGAAAACACTGCAGAAATGAGAAAATTTTGGTCTCAGTACTAGAAATATAATACTTAATTATTCAGGTAATAAAAGGAGTAGCACAATGACAGAATTTAAAATTTATAAACATAGAAGGAACTAAGGTTCAGAAATAAGGCACAATTATGGTTATGTAAACAAACATTCACCCATATATACAGAGAGAGATGAATATTTTTAAGGCTATGATTGTTAGCTTTGAAGTAAAAGCACTACCTGCTGTATTTCAAGTTGCTACAATATGATATGCTTTAACTTCTTTCTCTAACAAGCTTTATTGTATCCTGTGGTGTTTTATACTAGCTATAAAACTATATTCCTGGTAACTATCATCACAGATAAATTTAAGGATAAATGACTAAATACCTGAAATATTAGTGCACTAATATGGGTTTTACACTGGTTTTAAAGATCACATATATATATATGTATTGTTTAAGAAGAAGAAATGTTTTTCTTTTATAAATATTTGGAATTGAATATGAAAACCTCTTTTTTGTTTTATGTAATATTCATTTCACCTTGCATGTACAAATATGAAATGTAAAAACAGTAATCAAAGTTAAGTAAGACAAACAGTGTAGCACATTTGAAAGAAATAGACCTAAGCCTACATTAGCAGTGACTCAGTACAAGCTGTATAATTCAGGGGCGTCCCTCTGTTGCCTGTGACTAGATAAAAAAGAAATATGGCAAATACTTTAAAGAGTTTTACCTAAGAATAAGCGCTAATGAGTTACAAAGTAGCAATTACATCTATGATGAACATTTTACAGCAATGAAAATGTCTTTATATTAAAATAGAAAAAACAGATATGATTCCAATAATAAAAGAAATTCATAAATTAATGGGGACTGAGGGAATCAGAAAATGAAAATACCTGGGTCAAGATGGTATAATAAGGAGGTATATACTTTAAAAATTATTTAGTGTATAGTTAGGTTTTTTAAAAATTGAGGCAAAATGAATGTACTTCAAAAGTTTATTTCCAAGGAATTACACAGCCTAGGTATATATAATATCAACAGGTATTAAACTCAGGTAGCATCTGGCTTCCTTTTATGGCTCTAAGAGCACTTTTTTGCCAGAAACCAGAAGATAGGCTTATGCATAACTTCTGTCACAAAAATAAAAATGCAGCAAAGGTTTAGTTAGTGCAAAGACGTTAAATCTTAGATTGAAATAACTATGGATTACTAGCAGTATAAAATCCTTCCTAGCTTCATTATTTTTGTTTGCTAAATCACACAATGGATTTCATATTTGCTTCATTTGTGAACACAAGAATAATAAGTAAGTTTTTTGTCCCTCTACCTCTCAAATAGAATCATTCCAAATGCCTTCTTGATAACAGCCCCCAAAGCTGTATGAGTACTCGAAGACACAAAGTAGCTTCTACCTTGACACTGAGGATTTGGTCTTATCTATGCTAGAGTAAGAGAAGATCATTTTTTTTTGTTTTTTTCTCCGGTACCGGGAATCGAACTTATGACCTTGCACTTGCCAGGCAGGTGCTGTGCCACTGAGCTAAATCCCCAGCCCCGAGAAGATCATCTTGATTGTAAATAAATTTTAATCTGCTGATCTCCCAAAGGCCCAAGAGCTTTGTTACACACACCGTGGAGAAGGTCATTCCTTCGTTACTATTTTGTGTGTTGCCTGAGGTCTGACCAAGCCATGACTGTTGGGTTCTGGAGGAAGTCTAGCATAAGCATTGCAAGCCTCAGGATCAATACTAGATACTTTGCTGAGATATGCGCCAAGGAAGATAACATGATGGCTTTCTGGTCACCCGCATTGCTATGATAATTGAGTTGTACTGTCCTCGCTGAAACAGTTGATCTTCTCGGATTCCTCGGCTGCCTCCTTGGTGGGTTCTGAATAAAAAGTTAATGAAGATGGTAATCAGGAGTCAGTCAGTCCTAGAGGCTGCCAGCACCTGATCACAGGACTTTGGCTCTCTTGGTTTGATGTTTTTCTTACTTTTCTTATACATCTGCGGGCACCTAGTTTGGGGGATCAGTTCACCCTGGACAGAGATGGATGTGAAGTCCGACAACACACATACACACACAACACTCACACGTGCACAGAGATACACCGATCCAGAAAGACACACATATATTCAGATTTATCAGCAGCGCCTCTAAGAAAAATAATCAAAAATCACACAATAAAATTTTCTAGCAAATGATCTTATCTCAGTTCTTACCACTCATAATTACAATAACATGTTCTATCTATCACCACTATAAAATGTAGACCACCATTACAGGTGCTGGAGCACAAGCTTATAATATTTTTAGATGCAAAGCTTATAGGTTTAATGCCACGGGATAGGTCATTAAGAGGTTTGAAATTAAAAAATCAAGGGGAAAGAAAAAAAATGTGACATCAGCATTACCAAGAGCTGTTTGGAATAAACACGGAAAAGGCACTCCTCCAAGCACAACTCTCTGTTGCCCATTTAAATGACACCTAATCGGACCATGCTACTATCTGAAAGGTAATACAAAATTCTATCCATAATGAGATAATGCCGTAACAGTCAACAACGAAGGGGCTAAGAGTACACACGTGGTGAAGGAAACGAAAAGGTGGATCACAGGAAGTTAAATTCTGATGCTAACTATTCATCTTTTTTAATCAATCTGTCTCTGAATTAGAGTCCACTTTTGTTTCCATCATTAGCACCTACTAGTGGGTATCACACTCACTTTGCAAACAGTCCACTGGACTTTCTGTCATCACTTCCTTTGAACGTGTCTGTTATCAAGGCACATATTCATATTTAAAACAGCTAATAAATTCTGAAAGCATTTTTAAGGCTAACAACCGAATTCCGTAGTTGGCTGTTACACATAGTCATCATCTTCACCTGGAACAGGGGCTCGACGCCAATGTCACAGCTGAGCGAAAATATTTTAAGAATAGAGAAAGCCTATTACTCGTGCTATAGAGGGGAAATTATGAGAAATTTAGTATCTATAAATATTAATATATGAATTAAAAAGTTAAAATTTGAATATAGATTAGAACAAATGAATATTAAATATCATATATAATTTTATTTGGTAGATTTAGTTTTGAGCCACTTTTATCTTTCTGCCTCTGTCTGGAAAAAAAGTCACAATTTAATTCCATGCTCATGAAGACAATTTCCCAGTATTTGTAATTTGTCCTTACATAAATTCAACCCAGAAGCCTAGAAGAACATTGGTTTATGGTCTAATTGTCTCATTATTCAGACCAAGTGCTAAGTTAGAAAGCAGCCGCCAATACATTTGTTAAGTATTAGGCGAAGGTTTGAACAGACTAAACTCTGTTTCAAGACGGACTATAATTCAACTGTAACTCCAAATTTCAACTATTATATAGTTGTTAGGCACTGAACTGAGCTTTTATAGTAACAAATAAATTATGATGAAAATTAACATCTGTTTACTGTTATAAAGGCATTTCATAAAACATAGGTACATAAGAGATAAGTATAATAAGCTTTTTGGAATATCCATGAGACAGATTTATTAGCCTTTAAGACACAGTATTTATTTACACACCAGTAGACTATAAGTGATGCTATAATACTTTCCAGATCTCTGAGTCTGTATTTAAAATATAACTATCTCCAGGCACCCATCTTGATCCCCAACTGTACTTTCCTAAAAAGAAAAAAAATGACATCATTATTAATAAATTTTATTTTATAAGTGATTTACTCTGAAATGTATTACTAAGTAGATTTTTATAGCTCATATAAATCTTTTAACCAATCATTCATTTACCCACAAAAGCAGGAAAGCTTAGGGTTCAAGCACCTGATTTCTGGAGACAAAGAACTTGCATCTGAACCCAAGCTCTAGGTCCTTCCAACCTATGTGAGCGCAAAATGAGATAAGGACAGTCAGAGGTATAAGTGAGTTAATACATACCAGACACATGGCACACAGTTAACTTGTGATGACAACTAATGTTATTACTGTTTTTACAGTATTTGTCAAACACCTACCATGTGTCCTAGGAACACAGTAAACAACTGTGAGAAGACGGGCAGGGTCCCTGCCCTTTGGATCTCGGATTTCAATGAAAGACACTGGCAATAAG